AGTAAGTCTGAGGCCAGCCTGGGCTACATATTGAGTTCAAGGCCAGACTGGAATACAAAGCAAGACATTGTCTCAATCAATCAATCAATCAATCAAAATAAAAAAATAAAATTGAAACCCCTATCCTTAGCACTGTCCACTCACCCTCATTTGATCTCTTTATTGCATGTATTGCCTTCTGATATAGAGTACATTTCATTTTAAAACATTCTTTTTACTTCCCCCTTCCAGGCTAAAATGTAAGCAGGATTTTTTTGTTGTTCTTTTTCAGCTCCTCTATCAAACTTATATGAGAGAAATTATATCTGGGTAGGAAAGTTTAAGGCAGTGGTCCTTGAATCATTTGAGTATCAAATTCTCCTTGTGAACTTACATTCTTAGATTCCCAAGTCTCATCCCAGATGGAGCAAAAAGGATCTTGTATTGCCATATAAAGGAGATTGCATTTTATTCCCAAGGCTTTTGCAGAGAGTAATGCCTTTATCCAACCTGTGTCTAAGAAAGAATATCAAGTATCACAAACATGTACTAATAAAACAAACAAAAAATATCAAGGATGAATTAGACTTGTTATTTACCTGTCTTTTAAAAAAATTATAGCCTTCTAGGGCTGGGGATTTAGCTCAGTGGTTTCGCCGCCTGCTGCGCGAGCGCAAGGACTCGAGTTCGATCCCCGGTACCAAAAAAAAAAAAAAAATTATAGCCATCTAATAGATGTTAAGTAGTATCTTGTAGTTTTGATTTACATTTTTTTCACGTGCTTATTTGCCATTTGTATATGTTCTTAGAACTGTCTACTCAAATACTTTACTCGTTTTTATTTTTTATTTATTTATTTATTTTCTGGTGCCAGGGATCAAACTGAAGACTTTGCGCTTGCCAGGCAGGCACTGTGCCACTGAGCTCCATCCCCAGCCCCATTACTCTTTTTTTTAAATTGGATTGTCTTTATATTATTGAGCTATAAAGGTTCTTTACATGTTTTAAATACAAATCCCCTATCAAATGTGTGATTTGAAAATATTTTCTCTCATTCTGTGGGTTCTCTTTTCACTTTCTTGATGGTACCTTTTAAAACAGAAAAGGTTTTTGTTTAGATAAATACAATTTATCTATTTTTCTTTCCTTTGGTCATTTGTACTATTGGTATTATATCTAAGAAATCATTGCCAAATCTAAGGTTATGAAACCTTATTTCTATTTCCCCCTCATTCTTTAAAGAGTTTTAGTTCTTACATTTAGGTCTTTGACCCTTTTTGGGTGCTACTCTTTTGCAGGGGTTGTCAAACTCAGGACCTTGCGCTTGTCAGGCAGGCACAGTGCTATTGAGCTACATCCCAGCCCCTATGCTACTCTTAACTGTGCTCCTTGCTTGCTTTATGACCTTGGACTGTTCATTTGCCTTTGTTCAACTTCATTTTTTAATTTGTAAAATTAGTCACTTTAGCTAAATTTGTACTTCCAGTTCTAAAATTCTCTTACCGGGCCGGGGATTTAGCTCAGTGGTTCTGGTGCCTGCCGTGCAAGCGCAAAGTACCAAGTTTGATCCCTGGTACCAAAAACAAAACAAAACAAAACAAAAATTCTCTTACCTTGTATTTGATCAGATTATAAAATAAATGTGAAGAACTTTGAGAAATATAAAGGACTTTCCAAGTGTTATTTAACATTATTTTTGTTATATCTATAAACATACAAATAATATTGAAATACTTTTTCTGAATATTCTGAAAGAATGGTAGCATGTAGCTATTTAAATTAATTAAAATTAAATGAAAATGAAACACTTAGTTGCACTAACACAGATTTAACTCCTCCCCCCTTTTTTGACACTGCTGGGGATCAAACCTAGGTCCTTCTACTCTACCACTGAACTGTATCCCAGCTAATATAAAATATTTCTATCATTATAGAAAGTTCTGGTGGACAGGGATGCTCTAGAAACTCCATCTAGAAAAAGATGAAGATGCAGGAAATGTGCAGCTTGATAGATTTTTATAATTATTATACTTTTTCTCAACAATTCATATTAATCTGAGCTGAAATTATATATATATATATGTCACCTGTCTTAGTCTCTTTTGTGCTACTGTAACAGAACACCATGGAATCTGTAATTTACAATGAAGAAAAATGTACTGGTGCATAGTTTTAGAGGCTGGGAAGTTCATTATCAGTGTGCCAGCAACTGGCAAAGGCCTTCTTGTTGCATCATCCAGTGGTGGAAGAGCTGAAGGGCAAAAAGAGGGTAAGAGAGAGCAGGAGGGAGCCAAACTTGTGGCAGAGAACTGCATTAATCCATTCATGAGAGCAGGTCCTTCACAGCCTAATCATCTCTTAAAGGTCCCATCTCTTAATTCTGTTACAATGGCCATTAAGTTTTTAACTATGCTTTTTGGTGGATGTATCCAAACCATAGCATTGCTTTAACAGTCTTGCTCACACTGGTGTATTAGGCGGAGGACAAGTTGAATAGAAGAGACTATCCAAAGTGGGTAAAGTACATAAATAATGTGTTGTCATCCTCATATCAGCACCACTGTCATAGCATCATTGCTTATATCTGTACATCACTTTACAGTTTTGCCACCTATTTTTTTTGTTTGGTACTGGGGATCGAACTTGGGTCCTTGTGTTTGCACAGCAGGGGGTGAAACCACTGAGCTAAATCCCCAGCCCCTTTGGCACTTATTTTAACATCTCTGATCTCAATTCTCAACTCTGGTTGTGGAGTGTTTTTCCCAAATTGAACAGAAATACATATGCTTTCTTTAACTTTCATCCTAAAGTTATAGTTACAGTTTGTAGATTGGTGATACTTTCGTGTAGCCTCTTACCCTGGGGGTGGTTTGCCAGGGCTGCACATTGAGTAAATTTCAGGAAGTTGGCCTCAAAAATTGACCAGTAGTATTTTCCCTTTTGCCTGTCTAATGACCCTAGCCTCCTCTCTTTAGGAACCAATTCTTTTTCCATCTCATTCCAGAACCACCCTGAACAGACTAATTGCAGAGCAGTTGTCATCAAGCCAGCTGTTCATCGCCTGCCTTCAACATTTGTTTCCTATCCTGAGGTGCCACTGAAGAAGTTTATGACCTAAAAAATTGCCCATCTATCATGTGAACCTAGTTAAGAGAGAATTGTTTGATTTTTATGAAGTGTAAATAATACATTTAGAGACACATTTTCAAACATATGTCAGCCTATGTATAAGAAATGGCTCCCTAAACAAAGTGGGACAAATTGACTGGCTAATAGAGCTTAATGACAGATTTTCCATTAATCAGAATGGAGAATGTGCTTCATTAAGATAATTAACAGCGTACTTGTGCAGGTGATACTTATTACACTCAAATTTCCAAGCTTACTTCTATGCCTTAAATAAGTTTGGAGAGATCCTGGCTATGTTTCCTTGTTTGTATTACAATGTTCAGTGGCAATAAATTCCCCCTTTTTTCTTTAAAGCTGGTAGTGATTGGTATTTTGCCCTTTGCAGGTAAAAGGGGCTGGTAAGACACTTGGCTGCTCTTCCTTCCAGCAGGCTTTGTGCTCCTTACCAGGCTCTGAGGCTCCCATAGCAAACTGTGAAGTCCGTCATTTTCCAGCTCTTGGGCTAGCATCATTAGAATTAGAAAAGACCTCAGAGATCACTAATTTATTTTCCATCAGGACTGAGAAGAAACATGACTCAGCCAATGCCACACTAATGACAGAGTTACATGTGCAATAGTGGGACTAATAGTGAACTGAGAGCCTGGGTTAACATTAGGCAGGTTATATCACTTCTCTACTCCCTAATATCTTCATTTGTTAAATGGGAAAAGTATCTAGCATAGGTATTTTGTTAGTTACCTTTTTACTATACTGTGATGCTTCCCTTTCAATATAAGCTGAAGATTTTAAAGGAGAAGCTGGCCATGCATGGTGGTACATGCCTGTAATCCCAGCACTCTGGGAGGCTAAGGCAGGAGGATTGAGAATTCAAGCCCATCCTGGGGAATTTAGTGACTGTGCCTTTGTCTCAAAATAAAGAATTAAGGGGGGGGTAGTTTCTGGAAATGCAGTTTGCACAAATGCCCTGGCCCCCAAATAGAAAGAAGAAGAGGGCCGAGTCACATGTCAGCCAAAGATGGCTGCATCCTGACGAGTGGACCAAAGGTTGTAGTAATCCTCAGCGTGGTGGAGGAAGAACTCGGGAGGCGAGTCTAAGCTCAAGATGGAAAAATCATAAACCTGATGATACTATCAAGGAAAATTTAACTGATATAATAGCCAGAAAAATTAACCAACTTCCAGAAACAGACAGCACTAACTCTACTGCAGGTCATAGGATCTCAATGAGTGAAATGACAGGACTCATTATAAATACAAAGTGACAGGAGTCTACTTGAACATGGATCAACATATATTGGGCTTAATTCTGCTTTCTGTGGTCTGATAGCAAACAGTCTTTATTGGTGCACCTTGCATGTGACAAAGACTGGTATAGCTGCTGGCTTACCAATGGCGGTGATCCCATTTTTGTCAGCAAATGCTACTTATACAAGTTTTGTAAGTTTACCTCTGAGTACAGGTGATTTGAATTGTGAAACATGTACCATGACACAGGCTGGACTGATTGGTTTAGTTTTTGGTGGTCTGTACCCTGCTTTCTTGGCTGTACCTGTGAATGGTGCCCTAGTAGCCAGGGTATCAATCAGCCCTGCTGCCAGAGAAAGGAAACATCTTAACATACCGTATTAGAATATCCAAGCCTATCTTTAGAAAGATGTTATTTCCCTTTTTACTTCAGACTGTATTTGCAGCATACCTTGGGTCTAGACAATATAAACTACTTAAACAGCTCTTCAGTTACCTGAACCTGGCCTAGAAATTCACTGATTTTTTAACCAAATATGTATGCAAAAATAAAATAGTGAAAATAAAAATAAAAGAAGAAGCAGTTGATGTCAAGGAAAATTAGCAATCAGTAATCAATGCTGTTTTCTTTGTCTCTTCTGTAGGATCCTCAGTCTTCCACAATGAACCCTGTTTACAGCCCCGTGCAGCCTGGGGCTCCTTATGGCAACCCTAAGAACATGGCCTACACGGGTGAGTGGTGTGAGAATGGGTCTTATTTGAGAACTAGTAGTTAAGGATATTATCAATAACTTGGTGAATGACTTTTGGTTTCTAAAAGCTCTGATAAAGCTTGGGAACTTGGAGAAAAAATGTCTGAGGTCTGATAGTGATGGAAGCAACATTCTTGATTAAGTGTCATTGAATTGTCATCAAGTGGGAAGAATGTGAAGTAACACCTATTGAGTGCCTATCATGAACCTGGCCTGTGCAGGGCACCTTTATGTACCTCATTTCACCTTAATCTTACAGCAAATTAGACACATGTAGCTTATTATCACTATTTCCTAGGTGAGAAAATCAGAGTCACGTTAAGAAGCCACAAAACAAAACAAAATTAGATATTTGAATCCAGGTCAAATGATTCTGAAGGCTGATCTTTTTCCTGAACTATCTCCCAAGCTGTTTTCTTTCTTTTTCCTGTGGTGCTGGAGATTAACCTCTTAAGGCCTTGCTTATGCTAGGCAAGTGCTTCACTTCTGAGCTACATCCACAGCCCTTTAAAAGACTTTAAAATTTTGAGATAGGGTCACACTGCGTTGCCAGGGCTGGTCTCAAACTTGCAATCTTTCTGCCTCAGCCTCCTAAGTAGCTGGAAATACAGACATGGGATTACTTCTCTGCCTCTGTGTATGTTGCCCCTCTGTCTGGAATGACATTGTTCCCTGACTGCTTCACCTACTCCTTAAAATATCAACTCTGAACTCAGTGCTTTTCTAGCAAACATTCTTTCCCTTATTTGACTTTAAGCAAGTTTTCTAAACCTCTAAAGACTTGATGTTCTCATGCATAAAATGGGTACAAATGTGTTACCCTATTTCATGGAGCTGCTACAAGGATTACATGAGCTAGTATAAGGGACTGAGTGTATAATACCTGGCACAAAGTACTTAATAATAATTATTATTTACAAACAAAGATGGTAAATCGATGTTGGGATAACACTATAGATAAAAACATGGGGATAAGAAGGTATGATCATTGGTGAACATACAGCTTAGTGGTAGAACATGGGTTTGATCCCCAGCACAAAAGAAAAAAGTATGGTTGATTCTTGATCATACAGGGTACAGTAAATCCTTGAGCTTACCTAAAGTAAAATGTAGAAGAAAAATGGGAAAGGAGGGTAAAAAAATAGATTGGTCTTGGTTGTAGGATTGGAGTTGGGGGATGGGAGAATTTTATCCCAGAAGAGTCATTGCCAATGAGTGGAGGCTGTGGAGTACCCATTTCTCCTTAAGCTCTTTGTGTGGTTTACTGCATATGCTTTTTAGCTTCCCAAGGCCGAGAGTGGAAGGATCTCAGAGAATCTATATCTGGTTGCTTCCAAACTTTGTTCAACAAGAACACTAGAAATGTTTTTCAGAGAATCCTCAAGTATTTGACCTGATTTTTTAAAAGAATTAATTATTATTTTATAAAGCATGCATATATGTTTAATGGTCAGTGTATTAAGCTTCTAAGAATACATATTAATTTTTTAAGTAACTGCTCTCATTTTCAGCTGCTCATGTTTTTGTGGTGTTTGTATTCTTTGGTGTGCTGGGGATTGAACCCAGGGCCTTGTGCTAGCTAGGCAAGCACCCCGAGCTACACCCTCAGCCTAGCTGCTTGTGTTTTAAAATCAGTATTACCTCAATGCTATGCAACCAAAATAGCATTTTGAAATATATTGGAAGTTGAGCCTGGTATGACTGTAGCTTTTGTCCTTTAAATTGTGCATGTTTGTGTTTATCACAACAGCTTCATTGTCCTTACTATTTAACTTAAAAGTAAATATTTTCTGTTTGGACTTCTATTGTATATTTATTCTAATAAAATTTATTCCAGTAACCAGAACCCATGAGGCAGTACCCCACATCTTACTAGCTCAGGAAGCTTCTTGCTGCTTTTCCCTTTCCCAGTTCAGGGTGTTCCCAGCAATTTTGAGTTCCTTTGCCAGAGAAGATTGAGCTGCTTTTGGCAGACAGAAACCCTGGGAGTCCTATGGGGCTTTGGTTTCCTATTTGCTGTGAACCTAGCTGCCTCCATTTTCACTGAGTTGCTATGCTTGAGAAAGAAGAAAATAGTTGGATTTATTGATTTGCAAAAAAAAAAAAAAAAGGCAGCATAATATATTGGAAAGGGCAGACTTAATCTCTGCTCAGCTCTATTAGAGCTTAGTAACATGTTTCAAATGAATAAAGAGACAAGTTTTAAAACCCAGTTCTGTTTCGTATAATAGCTGAGTGACTTTGGGCAAGTTGCTTAACTTCCTAAACTTAATTTCTTTTATAGATTGGAATCTATTTCATAGGATAGTTGTGCAAATTAAATAGATAATATGCACTCCTTTAGAGGAGGGGGCATTTTGTTGTTGTTTTTGCTAATCACCAAGGAATATTATTAGCCTAGAATTGTATTTACAGTTAATTTCTGAAAATTCCAGGACCACACAAGTACTGTAAACTCCACACAAGTGGTATAAATTCAGGCCTTACACAGGCCAAGGTTTCAAATTCGTAGGACTTTTTCTTTTTTAACTCAGCTTACCTGTTGTATCTCTGTACTTTTGCCTCAGTTTATATTTTTTAAACTGACAGTACAGCTCCCCTGTGGTTCCAGATTTATGCATTGGATTTGAATTCCAATCCTTGGCCTCTCAAGGGCCTACAGCCTCATCTTCTATGGTTGGTGGTTACAAAAAGCAACCTCTTTGATTGCCAGGACCCAACACCTTTGCAGAGCAGCCCTACATCAGTGTACTAGTTAGTCTTCCTGAATTTTAGTTTCCTCCTCAGGTTTTCTTTTTCTTTCCTAAAAATCTCAACTTTGCCTAAGAATTAAGGTGTTTGTTTTATTTTGTCCAGCTTTTCTAGGGAGATTTTCAGGTTATCTTTTTTTCTGTATTGCTGGAAATAGAAATCTAAGTGAGAAAATTTGTAAACAAATGCCGAATATAGTGTATTAGAGTAAACACATATTGTTGGTAACTGTAATGATTATATTAAAAGGTATTAATTACCATTCAGCAAGCACATGCTAGGTTCTCTATGTATGTGTGTATGAATTATCATCTTATTAATCATAACTTTATGGAACTCTTCTTTTACAGGTAAGGAGACTGATAGTTTACTTTAAGTCATATGACTTGGCCAGTATTTATAGCTTCTACGAAATGAGGAAAGATTTGAATTTGGATCTTTATGATTTTGAAGTATATGTGCTTCTGTTATAGCATGCTGATCTGTCTTAAAATGTGTGCTCCTTTCACTGCTCCCATGGATAAACTAAGGGAAAAGTTTTTTTCAGTTTCCCAGACTACGGGACCTTCTATCTGAGGTATTAAAAGCCTACTGGTTTAGGTAGGTTCAGGGGCCAAAAGTGGAGGGAATCAAATCCATTATAGTGTTATCTGCTTCAGAGGCAGTGGAGTGGCAGCCACAGGGAGCAAAGAGAAGCACTCCTGATTTAAAAATTTTTTCTAAGGGGCCGGGGATTTAGCTTAGTGGTTTCGCTGCCTGTTGTGCAAGCCCAAGGACCCGAGTTCGATCCCTGGTATCCAAAAAAAAAAAAAAATTTTTTTTTCTAAAATAAGATGGGAAATAAAATACATGTTACAGCATATCCAGTGAGTAGCTGTCTTCTAGCCAGTTGACAGTGTTTTTCTTCTCTCTCCTTCCCCTTCCTCCATTCCTTCCCTTTGTTAAACTCCTTCACTGTTTTTTTTGTTTTACTGTGTGCCCAAAAATTAAGGTTAGCATTTTACCGATATTTATTTGTGTACTTGCAGCAATCCTGTGGTGTGTACATCTAGAAAAAGTAAATTTAGAGAATGTAATTTGTTGTATACTTTAAAATGTTTAAGTATAGATTGTGATATGGACTGAATGTTTGTGTCCCTCCAAAATTCATATATTGAAGCCCTAACCTCCAATAGGATTGTAATTGGAAATGGGGCATATGTAGGTTTAGATGAGGTCCTGTGGGTGGGGCCTTCCTTAATGATGAGATTAGTTCTCTTACAAGAAAAGAAGAAACACCAGACCTCTCTGTGCCTGTGAGGACACAGCAAGAAGGTAGCCACCTGCAAGCCAGGAAGAACCCTCACTAGAATCTGATCATTGCTGACATCCTGATCTTGGACTTCCAGTCTCTAGAACTGTGAGAAATAAAAGTCTGTTGTTTAAGCCACCCAATCTATGGCATTTTGTTATGGCAGCCCAAGCTGATTAATACAGTAATCCCTTAGTTCATGAATGCTTCTGTTTGCAAACAATTTGGTTCACAAACGAAAGCATAGGCAAAATTTTGCTTCCATTCGTAAACTCCACATTAGGTGAGAAACACAACCATGGCCGTCTTCACAAAGATACAAATGCAGCCATCTTCTCCAAAATTGTAAAACAAATTAAATTCATAAACCAAGGCACCACTGTACAGATACTAAGTACAGTGGACACTAGAGTACCTACCCTTCACTTAGATTCACCACAACAATGAGCTCTTTACAGACCAGGGGATTTTCTTTTTCTGCAGGTCTCAGAAAGAATTATGGAATATAGTTAAGACTTAAACATTATTTTTTCTCTTCTTTTCTTAAAATGTTACAGTAGCCAGGGATTTAGCTCAGTGGTTCTGCCGCCTGCCTCACAAGCACAAGGACCTGAGTTTGATCCCTGGTACCAAAAAAAAAAAGTTATGATAGTGCCCATTTGCAAGAGGATAGGTTTTAGAATATCAATTGGAAATAAAAATATATAGAGATGAGCCCCAAGTAAAGAGTTTATTTGGAAATATACAAGAATTGTTATTCAGTACATACATTCTATAGTGGATCATCAATACAACCAGGAAGGTTGGTGCAAAGGGGAAACTTTAAAGAAAAAAAAAAGAAGGAATTCATATAAGTTGTTTTGAAATAAAGACATTGCTTACAGAAACATATTGCAAGAGCTGGTATTAATTTGTTGATGGAGACAGTTGTTGCTAGG